ATAATTCTTGCCTTAAAAACACACATAATCTGTGGTTCTAAATGTTTTTTTTTTTCTGTGCTATACCAAGAAATCCAATAGATCAGAAAAAATTAATCTCTTTCTGTGTCTTCAGTTTGTAAATACCCTGTCCCAGGAAAGGCATAACGTACACCTCCAGGCATAAGAAACATTTACTGAGCATTGTTTGTGAAAAGCTCTCTTTTTTCATTCCTATGAATTTCAGGATCTTATTCGTATCACTTTCCCAGTAATTTGATAAATGAATCCACAATCGATCCTATGGCTGCTCATGTACTTGAACAAAGGTGGGAGGATGGTTGAGTTTGATGTAGATTTTACTCTGGAAAGAAACTTCTTTTGTAAGTAAGTTTGTGGGGCCGGTGCTATGGCGCACTAGGTTAGTCCTCTGCCTGCAGTGCCAGCATCCCATGCGGGCATCGGGTTCTAGTCTGGGTTGCTCCTCTTCCAGGCCAGCTCTCTGCTGTGGCCCGGGAAGGCAGTGGAGGATGGCTCAAGTGCTTGGGCCCTGCACCCGCATGGGAGACCAGGAGAAGCACCTGGCTCCTGGCTTCGGATTGGCGTAGTTCCGGCCATGGTGGCCATTTGGAGGGTGAACCAATGGAAGGAAGACCTTTCTCTCTGTCTCTCTTTCTCACTGTCTGTAACTCTACCTGTCAAAAAAAAAAAAAAAAAAAAAAGTAAGTTTGTAACGTGTTTAGGAGTGAATGAGGTGTCTATGGAACTATTCAGAACTAGAGTCTGTGGATAAAACAACCAACATGGGTCCAGTTGTTCCCAATCACTTCTATGTAAATGCTGAGTGTACCAAATGATGAAATAGTAACCAGGTAATGTACTGGTCCAAAATTAAATAACTAAGCTGCAAGTTATCAAACATTATTACGTACCAGGCTCAAAGCTTTATTTGACAAAGCTGTAGAAGACATGATGACTGGCCCCTGGAGGCTCTTAGTTTAGTTAGGTCAAAGGCAAGACTGCATAAACCAGAGCACGATGAGATAGGAGCACCAGTAGGAGAGGCTGCCAGGAAGGGCCATGGGCACCAGTAGGAGAGGGTACCAGGAAGGGCCGTGGCACGGTGGCGGCCATGATCCGCTCCGCTTGGGAAAGTCAGGGGCTGGGGGTGAGCAGTATCTTGACTATGGGTGTCACAGAAGCTCTAGATAAAGGCACAGGGGACTAAGACACCCACGTCCTACATCAGGGTGCCGGGTTTGCTCCCCAGCTCTAGATCCTGACTCCGGCAGCCTGCTAATGCCGATTCTGGGAGCAGTGGAAGTGGCTCAAGTACTGGGATCCGGCCCTGGCTGCTGAAGGTATTTGGAACTGTTTTTATGTCTCTCAGATAATAAATAAAATAAAAGCAAAGGGATGATAGTCCGGTGGTGCCTCTGTAAATCAAGCCGTTTTCGTCCCTTTGCTCCACTGCACTAGAGACTAACCCTAGTCGTCCTGTTTTGTGTCTCGTGGTCAAATACTGCCGCTGTGGCCTCAGGCTGAAGACCACATCATAAACAGGAAGATGGGAGGAAGAAGAATGGGGGCAGGGATGTCGCAGTGGGCTCTGTTCTTTTTATAAAGCTTTGCTGGGAGTTCTCCCATGAGTGGAGACTTCAACTCATGCCATGGGCTAGAAGCTGGTTACAAGGTCATCCCACAGAGGTATAAAGGAATCCATCCCATAACTGAGGAAGACGAGAGAGAGAGACAGACAGACAGATGAGGGAGTTGTAAATGGCCAATCCATGCAGTGTAGCACAAAGATTTTGTGTATGAGACAGTTGTAAGCCCAAATCATATGGTTTTAGCACTGAAGGAGGTCTCAACTCCCTAAAGAGGTCGACACACCTCCTCTAAGTGCTCGAAGATGTGACATGGCTCATCTTGTGGTTGAGCTCAGGTCTGGAGAGGCCGCAGAACTCGCTCAGGATCACACAGCAGCTGGTGATGGAGCGAAAACTTGAATTCAGGCCGTCTGATTTTCAGTCCTAGGTCTTTTCTTATGTGTACCAAATGGCTATTATGAATTTGATTATAGTTTGCACTGGTCTTGAATAAAACAGTAATGATAAAATATTATTAAAAGTTTCTATATTAAAGCATTCAGAGCAGAAAAACAATAAGTATATGAATTGAAAGCTGTGGAAGAAATGGAAAGCTTCAGACACAGGAGCGAAAGCGGTCATCTCTCAGCATCCACGAAGGGTTGGCTCCAGGGTTGTCCTCCTGCCCCCATCCAGTACCCAGATCTGAGGACACTCAAGTCACTGATTTAAATTTTGTAATTTTTGCAATAATCTGTGCACACCTTCCCATATTCTTTTTTTTTTTTTTTTTTTTTTTTTTGACAGGCAGAGTGGACAGTGAGAGAGAGAGACAGAGAGAAAGGTCTTCCTTTTGCCGTTGGTTCACCCTCCAATGGCTGCCGCGGCCGGCGCGCTGCGGCCGGCGCACTGCGCTGATCCGATGGCAGGAGCCAGGAGCCAGGTGCTTTTCCTGGTCTCCCATGGGGTGCAGGGCCCAAGCACTTGGGCCATCCTCCACTGCACTCCCTGGCCACAGCAGAGGGCTGGCTTGGAAGAGGGGCAACCGGGACAGAATCTGGCGCCCCAACCAGGACTAGAACCCGGTGTGCCGGCGCCGCTAGGCGGAGGATTAGCCTAGTGAGCCGCGGCGCCGGCTCCCATATTCTTTAAATCATTTCTAGATTGCTTATAATGCCCGATATGCCATAACTGCTATGTAAATAGTTATACAGTATTGTTCAGGGAATAATGGTAAGAAAAGAAGCCTGTACGTGACCACACAGATGCAATCTGGGGGGATATTTTGGTTGGATCCGTGGATGTGGAATCTATGGCTTTAGGGGGCTGACGGTCTTGTTGATGAGCTAGCTCTGGGTGCACTACAGGTATCTTAGTACCTTGTTTGTTCCTAGATGAGAGATCAGAGGTGAAAGGCCACAATTATATTGGGCTAGAATCAAGCTTCCCATCTTCCAGGGCACAGAGATTGAAAGCAAGGTTGGTTCTTCCAAGCAGAATTCAACTAGCCTAGAATGTAACTTGGTCTCTCTTCTAACCCTTCCTCAGATCGTTGTTTAATAAGATGATTCTCCTCCACTAGAAAGCTGATTTTTCAGTCTGATGGAACCTATTCCTGAGGAACTTCTCTTGCGTGTTCCAGAATGTCTCAGTGCTTCTCAGGGGGTACTTAGTGGAGGGGAGGAAATTAGTAGGGGAAAAAATTCTACGAAGACATTTTTCTTCTCTTTGCAGTGACAAAAGCCTGTTGTCAAACTGATTCTTATAATAATGGAAGGTCACTGAACTTCCACACTGCAGCTTAAACCAGGGGAGAGCACAGGTTATTTTATTAAAAACTTGCAAATATTGATTTGGAAAGAAAATTGTTTGAAAATGCTGTGACTTGATAAGAAAGCAAGTATGCCAGATACTACTTTCTGCTTCTAAACATTTTGAGTGAAGAATACTAGTATCACAGGATTATACATTTGTATAAATTCCCTCCATCGGCACACATTCCTGCAAATACTTATCCAGATAATGTGTCCAAAGTCTGTCATCCTGATATATTAATCAAGTGTATCAGTAGCTTGTTCTTACACTTTTTGTGTTTATTTTACACATCAGTGACATTTTATGTTTTCAGATAGTATTTTATTTTTTTTAATTTTTTAATTTGACAGATAGAGTTAGACAGTGAGAGAGAGAGTGACAGAGAGAAAGGTCTTCCTTCCGTTGGTTCACCCCCTAAATGGCCACCACGGCTGGAGTTACACCGATCTGAAGCCAGGAGCCAGGTGCTTCTCCTGGTCTCCCATGTGGGAGCAGGGGCCCAAGCACCTGGGCCATCCTCCACTGCCTTCCTGGGCCACAGCAGAGAGCTGGACTGGAAGAGGAGCAGCCGGGACTAGAACCCAGTGCCCATATGGGAGGATTAACCAAATGAGTCCCTGGTGCCGGCCCCTCAAGTAGTATTTTAAAATTTATTCAAATTCCCTTACTGTCTGCTTTAACTATACAAGGATGAATGATATAAAGCAACTACTTGAAGGGAGAATCAAGGCACTGGTATATGATTAAGAAAGGAAAAAGTGGTTTGGATGGTTTGTTGCATTTATGTAAGTGGTAAGTGTGTTAGCAGAGTTTAATGAAGAGAAATACATCTGGTAGTTTTTTTTTTAGAATTATAAAATTTATTTAAAACCAACCAAAAATTTTGTGTAATCAGGAATGAAACAATTTGCAATCATTTTTAAAAAACAACTCATGACAATGTAGATTTTAGATATATTTTCAATACAGATTACAGTATTCATTAGCCTTATTCAGTTAGAACAAGTAAGAAAATGACACTTTATGATCAAACAAATGAGACACACAGAAAAAATATAATAGACAATTTCCACAACTACCTTTACACAAGTTTCAATGCTAGTACATTTTAATGCATTGTGCTACATGAACGTGAAACCATGTACAACTGCTTTGTTAATTAAGCCAATAAATGACTATCCCTTATAAGAGAAATATAAGCAATTTATTTTTATAGTTAAAAACTTTATTCTTGGAAACGATTTTAATTTTGTCTTGTTAAGAAGATTCTTAGGCCTATTGAATTGATTAATAAAAGCAAAACAAAGCAAAGAACATTTGAAAAGTTGGCAACTCAGAACCAGAGCAGGCTCTGAGGACTGCCCTCAACAATATGATCTGAAATGTATAGAAAGCAGAAGTGAGATATAGAGACAGCTTGATTGATTACAGAGTCTTCTGCAATTAAGTAAAGCTCAGCTCCTGTAATTAAATTTCATATTTGTTGGGTGTGTTGGGCTTAGTGCAAGAGGTTAGTCTAATCAATGGCCTCCTACAAGATTTTATTTAACAATTTTCCAGTTTTGATCACACTTTCATATAGGGCACTTAAGGCATCTCAGTCACCATCATCCGAGACTTCCAGTCTCAGCCCCAAATTCAGAGATTACAGTATCCTCACGATCACGCCTTTCAGTTCTTGTTAATCCAAGTCAAGAAGAAACCATTCTGCTAATGGCTGCATGTGGACATTGAAGACTTTGAGAGAAGACAACACTACTATTGTGACTATTAGCAGGATAACACCAAGAGTTTAGAGCATGGATCCCCTTGAACCAAACCAACTAAAATCAAATAGATCAAAAAGTGAGCCAGATGAGGAGTCTACCCATTTTAACCAAATAGCCTCTTTGTTAGTTTTATTGTAACTGTATTTATCCATGCTCAACAAAAATGTTACTCGCATAAACTCTTCCCTCTTTCACTAGTAAGTAATCTAACGCCCAATAACTGAGTTAAAACAGGGAATGAGAAATGTCTTCAAGAATGGTGATGTCTGGGAATAGCATTATCTTGTCAGGAGAAAGCAAGAAAATAATTAGGAGGGAAAAGGATGTCACTAGGATGGAGAGTCTTGTTCTGACATCTTCGGAGAAGTTGTCTACATCTAGAAAGTCATCTACTTTTGTGGAAGTTTTCACTGGTCATCTTTACTTTAAAGTCTCCAACAGGTGCACAGTTCCAGGATTCTGGAGGGGATCTCTTACAGTACCCAAGGCTTGAGACCCTCAGGCTTGACTGCTGGGTGGGTGGTGAGAAGAACCTCACAGAGTCTCTTTGAATGGGCGTCTAGTGAAGTCTTTCTGATTTCACTTTCAAAAGACCTTGTTTTCAAGTTCTATACTGTGGGGAGTCTGTTACCATCAGTTGATGGATTTTAAAGAGCTTCCTTTACCTGGTGAAAGAGTACTTTGGCAAAGGCATTAAAGCCCTGAAGTATTTAGTCAAATCAGGAGAACGAGACATACGTATGAGTCTGTTGTTAAGGACATAGCCCTTCTAGTAACCATCTCATCCATTAAAGCCAATGATAGTATCCTTGGCCAAGGTAACCAATTGACCTTGCCAATTTCAATTTAAAAGTATTATTTATCATTTCAATCTTTCCAAAACATTGAGGACAGTAGGGGCACAAGCAATGGCATGGTGTTTATAACACCCTGTTTACTTCGTAATTGACCTGATAAAATAGTCTTCTGTTGGAGATCTCTCCAGAGACGCATCATAAAGGACACCACCAATAACCTTTCTTTTTTAAGACTTATTTATTCTATCTGAAAGGCAGAGTTACAGAGAGACGGAGGAGAGAGAGAGAGAGAGAGAGAGAGAGAGAGAGAGAAAGAGAGAGGTCTTCCATCCACTGGTTTACTATTCAGATGGCTGAAACGGCTGGAGCTGAGCACATCCAAAGCCAGGAGCCAGGAGCTTCTTCCAGGTCTCCTATGTGGGTTCAGAGGCCAAGGACTTGGGCCATCTTCCACTGCTTTCCCAGGCCACTGCAGAGAGCCAAATTGGAAGTGGAGCAACTGGGACTCGAACCCGTGCCCATATGAAATGCCAGAACTGCAGGCAGCAGCTTTACTCACTACACCACAGTGCCAGCCCCACCAATAATCTTTTAATTAATGTTATAACATTGAATTTCCGGCATCAAAAGCTTCTGTATAAACATAGATTATTTTAAGTCTGTATGAGTATTAATATCCCAATAAAGGTGGAAATTGAATGAAATCCCTTTGTGAATGGTCAAAAATTTCATCTGGTAGCAGAAATTACCACTTGAAATCTTGATTATCTTCCCAATACTCTGGTTTTGACAACTGAACAATGATTATTCATCACTTCAACGATCCTAGAACAGACACTACACCAATATCTTTCTAAACTTTGTTTTCTTTTGTCTATTAGAATTATGGAATGCAAAACTTGTAGCAATGAAAGCTTTAACGATTGAGGAAGGATCAGGCAACTGTCCAGACCATCTATGAGGCCATATTTAACATTGAATTTACTTCCTTTCTCCAATTCAGGTGCAAAGCACTGCCCATTAAACAGGCCACCATAGACAATTTGATTTGGATCAATCTTAAAGAGTTCATTCAAATTGCACATCTCAACAATTTCAGCACTGGCTGATGCAGCATGAAAGTCAAAGCATTTCCCTAGTATTCAATCAATTCCTGTTCTGCATGATGTTGGATTAGCTGTCTTTTGAGCAATCAGTCTCTCCATTAGAGTTCTAGGAATTCTTACCCATTGCAATGATAGTATCTCAAAGTTACAAAAAAAACTATATCAAAGTCTTTTCATGAGGCCAGCGCCGCGGCTCACTAGGCTAATCCTCCGCCTTGCTGCGCCAGCACACCAGGTTCTAGTCCCGGTTGGGGCGCCGGATTCTGTCCCGGTTGCCCCTCTTCCAGGCCAGCTCTCTGCTGTGGCCAGGGAGTGCAGTGGAGGATGGCCCAAGTGCTTGGGCCCTGCACCCCATGGGAGACCAGGAGAAGCACCTGGCTCCTGCCATCGGATCAGCGCGATGCGCCGGCCATTGGAGGGTGAACCAACGGCAAAAGGAAGACCTTTCTCTCTGTTTCTCTCTCTCACTGTCCACTCTGCCTGTCAAAAAAAAAAAAAAAAAAAAAAAAAGTCTTTTCATGAACCTTAAAGATGAAACACTTGGAGGAATGGTGAACAATTAACTCTGTCAAATGACAAGACTCAAAATGGCCGTGATTAAAGACCTGATGAGAGTTCATTACAACAGTGACATAATTAACATTAGATATTTCTGTTGCATATAACATCTTAGTAACTAGAATTATGACTGAAAATATTACATTAAGACTACCAGATTTCTCTAAAGTTCATATAATTTTTAGGCATATTAACTACATATTCATAGAATACAACTCAATGAAGGTTTAACATTATTACTATTTTGTTTCCTTATAATTTAATATAACAAATAAGTCTTATTAGTTCCATATCTCTCCTTTGAGGCTTTCCGGGACTCAACTAAAAATTTCAGAGATAATTTTAGATCAAAGACACTTAATTTAGATTTTTATTTTGGGACAATTTGTCAAGAATATCAAAGGTTCAAAACTCTTGATCAAAATGAGATCACTAAAAAATAGTCATTCACGTAACAGAAGTGATAACTAAGACTTCAGAGGCAAACACAAAAAGCCACATAATTATAGGAAAAATCCCAGCTCTACAATAAAGTGGGTTCAATTTTACTAAGTATTCAAAAGATTTAATAAAGTTTTATGTCATATGAAAAGCAGATCAATTCTTGAAGGAAACCTTGTTTGAACATAGAGAACTAAATGCAAATTTTGCTTGTATGTGCGAATATCTCCAATCTGAATAGGTTTTTTTTCCTTAAAACAATTTGTGGGGAGAGGACATTAGCCCAGTGGTTAAGGCATCTCCATTCCTCATTGATGGAATAGCTGAGCTGAGTTTCTAGATCCAGCTTCCTGCCAATGTGGACCAATGGATGCAGCAATGGTGGCTCAAGTAATTGGGTTCCTGCCACCTTTGTGGGAGATCTGAATTGAGTTCCTGGTTCTTGTCTCTGGTCTTGGTCCATTCCCAGGCATTGTGGGCATTTGGGGAATGAACTAGTAGAGGGGAACTCTCTTCCCCCTCCTCCCTCTCAGATTAAAAAAAAAAAAAACCAGCATGGGATATAGAAATTTATTCTGCTTACAGATCAATAAAGCTTTCACAGTGAACTGTCAATAGTAGTTCTCAAACTTTGTTGCTTATTGGAATCATCTGGGAGAGTTTATGAATTTGACAAAGATTTATAAATGCCTGACTACCAGAACATACAGAATTAGGGATATGATCTAGCATGGAGACTTTAAAAAGCTCCCTTAATGCGCAGTAACTTCTGGGAAGTGTGTTAAGGGAGCTACCACCATCCCTGTATTCCCAGAAGCCATCGACATCTGTGATGGTAATCTATCCTTGCACTGGATAAGATGTAAAGACAAAAATATATTAGTTAAAAATATGTCCCATTTGGGATAGATGTGATATTTGAAGGGGATGTGACATTTTCATTTTTAGATTATCTGGCTAATCTCTGTCTTTATTAACCTAGGAAAGTAAAAACGTGACTATATGGGTATGAGAAGTATATTTGCTAGAAACCATCATAAAATCTCAGAATAGCAGAAATTTATATTTGCTCCAAGGTGATCTCATATTTTTGTGAAATTGAGATGAATTATGGATGGATATGAACAGGTGCTTCTGAAAAATGTGTGTTAAAATCACATAAAATTATTCAATAAAAATAATTGGGTTTTTATTGAATTGGATGGATTGTTCCATTTAATAGAGCTGGGAAAACTACAGAGGGAAGGCAATCCAAAATCAAATTGAGATTGACATTTTGAAAGAGAGTAGTAAAATTCGAATATTGCCTGGGGAGTCATCCTTCTTGAAATTCTATTAACATGTTCATTTAGCCAATTATAAGGTGGCACTGTTTAATGCAAACATACTTATTTGGCAATGGAAATGAAGTGCTAAGACAGTTGCTCTCAGGCTGGCTGTCCATTAGAACCACCTGGGGAGTTTTGAGAAGTCCCCGGGCCCCATATGAATTACAGCAGAGGCTCTGGGTTGAGGGGAGGGACCAGGACTCAGCACTAATGATTTCAATGTGCAACCATGGATGAGAGCCCTGTGCCAAGTAATGAAAATAGTGGTTGTTGACAGCACCCTCCTCCTGAAAAGTGACGTTACTGCAGTCAGGAGTGTGCAGTTATAGGGGAGTTCTGGAATTTGGAGGACCTTCCAAAAGTTAGGACAAATAGGCTTTTGAATACATTTCCCTCTTAGATAACTTTTGTGAGAGGGGTAAATTATTACAAATCCTTGTTTTCCATAGGTCCAAAGGGTGATCCATAAGTTAAGGATCCCAAGGTAGCACAACCCACTGTACCTGTGCATTGCTTCTTCTTCTTCTTTTTTTTTAAATATGGAACGCTTCACGAATTTGCGTGTCATCCTTGCGCAGGGGCCATGCTAATCTTCTCTGTATCGTTCCAATTTTAGTATATGTGCTGCCGAAGCGAGCACTGTGCATTTCTTCTATAGAGGATGTCCTGGGCCAGGGAGGGACTGGGTTTCTGCTTCTGTGCCGATTCCATGTGATTGCTCGTACATGATGTGATATTCCAAGGCCAAGTCCAGCTGCAGAGAACAAGTTCAGAACTGCTTATGATGTTTGCTATAGATGTGGAAGTCACTGTGGGAATGTTTATGACAGTTTTCTCTTATTTTGTGTATCAAAGCAACAGTGGAAGTTGTGAAGTTAGAAGGAAATAAACGAGAATTCCAGTTCTGCCTCTGTAGCTATTAACATCTGTTGCAGATTCGCTGACCTTCTTCCTCCAAAAAAGTGGAGTCTTTATTTTCTTCCATTGGACAAAGGTGGGACTTAGGGATTTGCTGCTAACAAGTAGAATGAGACTGACAGGATGCCATGTGACTTCCCAGGTTGAGTTATAGACAGGGGCTCTTCTACTTGGCACTCTGTGTTTTGGGCTGCTTGCTCTGAGGGAGGCCTGCTGCTTTGTCACAAGGACACTGTAGCAGCTGTGGTGAGGCCCACATGGGACATACCCGAGGTCTCCCACCAACAGCCTGCACCTGCCATGTGAGTGAGCCACCTTGGCAGTAGATCCTCCTGCCCCAGGCTAACCTTCCGATGACTGCAGTATCCTGAGAAATCCTAAGTCAGAACCGCTCATCGCAGCCCTTTGCCAGCTCCTGAACCTGCAGAAACTGTGAGATAATAAATATTTATTGCTGTTTGAAGCTACGAGTCTTCAGGAAATGTGTTACTCAGCAGTAGACAACTAATATAGATGTCTAATGGCTTTGTTCTTCAAGTTAGGTGTCCTTACCTGTAGAATGCAGATAAAAATGTCCTGAAATATTGTTTTGAAGACAAAATGAGTTGATAGCAAAATCTATCATTTATTGAGTACATTTGAGTACTGTCATGCGATCTTGCACTGTCTAGATTACTGATGATTTTAGGGTGCCACAAGTCAGAGCCTTGGCGGCTGAGGTACACCAGCTGCACAGGAAAGGTACAATGCCTCCCCCTTCTAGTAACTCCACACCTGGCTTTGGTTCTGTGTCATGTGGCCATTTCTGGTGGGAGACCAACTGGTAAACACTGTCCTTCCCAGGAAGTTTCATTTTAATAAATTCTTTGAACTTGTTTATGTCACAAGGGTCTGGCAGCTCTCTTCTCTAGGAAAGTAAAATTCTCAAAGAAACATAGGCTGCAACACCAAAGATTGTCATAAAGATCATATTTCATTGCTTCCTCTTTATCAGTTGACTCCAAAAGAGCTTGCATGTAAGTAAATTTGGATTCTTATTTTTTATACCCCATCAGTAGGGGAAGGTTGGAAAAATGTGGGAAAGAGACCAAAAAAGCTGGCCGGCGCTGTAGCTCAATAGGCTAATCCTCCGCCTTGCGGCGCCGGCACACTGGGTTCTAGTCCCGGTCGGGGCGCCAGATTCTATCCCGGTTGCCCCTCTTCCAGGCCAGCTCTCTGCTGTGGCCAGGGAGTGCAGTGGAGGATGGCCCAGGTCCTTGGGCCCTGTACCCCATGGGAGACCAGGAGAAGCACCTGGCTCCTGCCTTTGGATCAGCGTGATGCGCCGGCCGCAGCGGCCATTGGGGGGTGAACCAACGGCAAAGGAAGACCTTTCTCTCTGTTTCTCTCTCTCACTCTCCACTCCGCCTGTCAAAAAAAAAAAAAAAAAAAAGCTATGTAGCCTTTACATTTGTAGTCATATAAGTAGGGGCTGGCAGAGATATTCATCAAAAGGCATATCCTAGAATGTTTGTAGCAGCACTATACATCATAGCTCAAAATTGTAGCTATCCAAATGTCATCTATCAGTAGAACGGACAAGTGAAGCACAGAGCAACCATATCATGGAGCATGAAGAGGAAGACTTAAACAACCACATTCAGCAATATGGACAGCATCACCATAGCAACACGGAGCAAAGGAAGCCAGACACAAATGAGTACATACTACATACAAGGAGCATTCAACAAGCTCCTGCAAAATGCACATCATTTCAAATTCCATTTTCTAGGAACCATCCAAAGAACCCTTGTGCTTTCATTTATATAAACTTTGAAAAGTAGGAAAAATTTACTCTAGAAGTCAGAATAACAGTTAACCTTGAGGGGCTCGTGACTAGAATGGGGCTGGGAGGGGTTTTAGACTGCCAGCGCTGTTCTGTTCCTGGACTTGGGTGCCAGCTGTGGGATATGTTTGCTGCAGGAAAACTCAATAACTTTATACTAGGATTAGAGTTTGCTATACTTCAATTAAATGTGCAAAAGAATTTGGTACATATGAAGTGACTGGAAGTGCTACTATAACTTTCTATACATCTGTCTCATGAGATCCTGGAATTAACACACCTTGCTATCTATACACTCACTAAAGTTCATAGCAAAGGCACATATCTCAATAATCTAATACTGTGGTTTTTATCAAAATGATGTGATGATGTGATTATCGGGAATGAGGAAACTTTGTTCCTCTCTTTGCTGTAGTAGAATTACTCTTTGGTCTGTTCTTCATCCCTGAAACAGATTAGTGTAATAGTATGGTGAGAGCTGGCTGATTGATTAGCAGTGACCTTGGACAAGTCACTTAACATATCTGAGCTACGATTTTCTTATCTCCCACATGGGAATCATGTTTGCTTTGCATTTGCAGTGTGGATATGAGAGTTGCTGTGATGTCTATAACATGCCTAACATACTATGTGGAACATGTGTGTGCATGATAGCGATTTGCTTTTCTCTTCTCTTCCCCCTTCCTGCTCCTTCAGCTCCCCCACCCCTTTTTCATCCCTCTGTTTTCCTTCAGAGGCATCGACAAAAATGTGTGTATGTGGGAAAGACCAGTGTCCACCCTATAGTAAAGGCCCAAGGATACAAAAAAGATCATGTCATAAAGTCTTTGGATTTTCTGTAACAAAACCAAAGCTTCTGAAGGAATTGATTGCATTTCATCTGCCTTTGCTTTCTTTAGGCAAAGTGAGCGTCTCTCTCTCTTTCTCTCTATCTCTCTTATTTTTGATCTCTGTAATAATGTTCAGTATCTTCATGTAGATCTTTTCAAATTCTTCCTTTCACTTCAATCATAAACTGGACCTAACACCTCCTCTCTGGGGTCACAACTCCTAGCAAGGAAAATGTGTGTGTATGTGTGAGTATGTGAGTGAGTGTGTGAGCGTTGTGTGTGTGTGTGTGTCTGTGTGTCTGTGCATGCGCATGTGTCAATAAACAGTGTCTGACCATGAGCAGGGTGAACCCAAGTCATCCCTACATTACAGGACAGAGAGCAGCGAGCCTGTTGCTGTTACCTTGGGGTCTGGCTTCCCCCAGGGAGGGTCGGGTCTGGCACCCAGGTGGCGCCCTGGCTCATTGGCTGACGTGCTCTGATGTCTCTGTCCTTCACCTTTCGGCAGCATCGCATGTGCAGACTGACTCCTGCCACCCACATGGAAGGAAGATGGGACTGTAGGGTGTCTGTGTCGTCGTCGTCAATGGCCTGTAGCCATAAGGATTGTCCCTTATTGGTTGGAGTTTGTGAGCTCAAGGCTTCCATAGCCTTGGCAGCTCATGACAAGAGCCTCGGGTGGTTACTGATGTCATAATTAAGAGTGTCAATTGTTAAATCAACAACAGGAGTCGCTGTGCACTTACTCCCCATGTAGGATCTCTGTCTTTAATGTGTTGTACTATGCGAATTAACGGTAAAACTAGTATTCAAACAGTACTTTACACTTTGTGTGTCTGTGTGGGTGCAATCTATTGAAATCTTTACTTAGTATACTAAGTTGATCTTCTGTATATAAAGATAATTAAGAATTAATGAAGAATGGGATGGGAGAGGGAATAGGAGATGGGATGGTTTGCGGGTGGGAGAGTGGTTATGGGGAGAAAACCGTTATAATCCAAAAGTTGTACTTTTGAAATTTATATTTATTAAATAAAAGTTATTTAAAAAAAGGATCGTCCCTTATTGTCCTTGGCTGAGACGTAAAAGTCAACACCACCATTTTATTGTGTAAAGAGACGACTGTGTTTAACTTGCCGGTGAGAAAATGGCTATTTTTGAACAGTTAGGAGAGAAAACAGGAAGCACTGACATTTGGCAGTCTGTTCTCTGTTCTCCAGGATGAGGAGAAAGAAGGTATCTTAAATCAGCCAGAGAAGCTGCAGCGTGGGGGTTGTGGGTGGGCGAGCTGAGTTTGGATCCTGTTTCCAGCCCTTGGGACCCGGTGCCTGTGGCAGGCCGGAGCCTCTCGCGGCAGCTCTCTCCTCCTCTGCTTTGTAGACAGTCGTGGAGGTTCTGGCCAGGGCTGCAGGGAGGGGGACGGGAGAGGCATGTGACCACACCCTGCCCTGGAGTGGATCACAGCTGCGGTTCACATGCTAATGAGGCCTGTTGGGGACCCATATTTCTTCTTTCCAGACCCAGAGTCAGAGTTTATTTAGAAAACAAAATCACTTGCTTGACCTTCCCAAAATATTTACCCTTTCTAGACTCTGTCAGGCTGGCCAGGGAGAGCTTAGCTGAGTGGGGGAATTAAGTGTGCGGTCCTCATTCTTGCTCAGAGGGGCTCTGGACCTGCTCTCCTCCGATAACTTCTGGGTCAAATCAAAACATGACTGCTCCCGGAGCTCCCCGTAACTTCTGGGAGGCCCTGACTATTTCTGGAATGAAAGCCATGGAAAAATAGGACAAATCCTATCCCTGCAGGCTGGTGGGGCCAGAGCCCCCTTCCCTTCATAGCCAGGCTAAGCATTGGGGGTGCTGTCAGCCAATGCCACCAAGGGGGACCCCGCTCGTTGTGGCACCCTGCTCCAGGATGCAAGGGGAGGCAGCGGCACGGCGAGAAGTCACTCCACTCGTTCCCATTTTGTGGGTTTTCTGACCTGCAAATGATTGGGGTAGTATTAATGCTAATCTCTTACATTTCACATTGCCTTTAAATTTCCAGAATATATTGGTCTGTGCCATGTGTCTCTACCAAATCCTCACAGTGTCCAGAGGTAGGAAAGTATTGATTCTGCTTTATAGGCGAGAAACAGAATCAGAGCAGCAAGAGCTTTTCCTTTTTTTTTTTTTTTTTTTTTGACAGGCGGAGTGGACAGTGAGAGAGAGAGACAGAGAGAAAGGTCTTCCTTTGCTGTTGGTTCACCCTCCAATGGCCGCCGCGGCCTGCGCGTTGTGGCCGGCGCACCATGCTGATCCGAAGGCAGGAGCCAAGTACTTATCCTGATCTCCCATGGGGTGCAGGGCCCAAGGACCTGGGCCATCCTCCACTACACTCCCGGGCCACAGCAGAGAGCTGGCCTGGAAGAGGGGCAACCGGGACAGAATCCAGCACCCCGACTGGGACTAGAACCCGGTGTGCCAGCACCGCAAGGCGGAGGATTAGCCTAGTGAGCCGCGGCGCCGGCCAAGAGCTTTTCCTTAAGCAAGCCTGTCCAGCAAGTGGTTCACCTGCTGCTCCTGGCACAACCTCACCTGAGACGGGAAGGAGCAGAGCTGGGTACCCATCAGGACCCAACAGAACCGTGTTCAGTCCAGCTCCATTGCTCGTTGGCCAAGTGTACTGGACTGGGCTAGTTCACTTCGCTCAGCCCCAGGCTGCTGGGACGGGCTAGGGAGGAACGCCGGCACCTGCGCCAGGGGCTGGCTGTGACTCCTTGTGAGTCCCCTCATGTAGTAAATGCTCAGGGAATGTTTTCCTCTAACTGTCTCAGCGGTCAGCCAGCACTCTCAAGGGGAGGTTTTCACCTGGATCCCACGAGCAGGAGGTGAAGGAATTTCCGTCTTGCTTCCTTGGGAGTCGGTTGCGAGCAGGTCCCTCCAGTCTGGGCCTTCCCTCGGGAGGCCGCTGCTGACCTGAAGGGCTTCTCCTCCACTGCTCAAGAGCAGATGTGTGCAGGCCCCTGGGCAAGCCCCTGCACCTGAAGTGGACACCTGCCCTACTGGTCCTGCCCCAGACTGGGTGGGCATGGCTGTTAGATTCGGTTAGAGTCCGCAGTGGGAACCCACTGACCATGGATACGTTCCATATCCCCCAGTTTCGGCTCTACCAAAAGTGAGGTAGCATTGTGCCCTTCAGATAAAGTAGTATTTTTTGTTTTATTTCTCAATTGGTTCATATTCCAGGAGGGGAAAGGAGAAAGGTTTTTGGGCTTCCCCTCACCCAACAGGAGCCAGGGATAGAAAGAGAAGGGGCTTGGGACGGAGGACATGGATACTCCCTGATGTGAGCTAAGTCTCAGAACTGGCGGTAGCCCAGAGGCCAGGCTCAGAGCCAGGTGCTGCAGGGAGCTGAGCTGTGGCTGGATGAGAGGAGAGTCCATGGCCAAGCCAGGGCCCCAGGTCTTAAGTTAGTTCAACGGGGAGGCGTGGTCGTTCCCTCATTCAACAAAAGTCATGTATGTTATTAATTCACGTGGCTGCTTTGTTAAAGTTGATTACCTGTATGTGCACATACCAAGAGTGGTGAACAAAAGGCATGCAGTCTCTGCCCTTGAGAGTTTTTGCCCTTATGCTGGGGATGAAGACTTTGCTATAGACTGAAAGTCTGTGTCCTCCGCAGGTGCATGTGTCGAAGCCCAGTCCCCAGGGTGATGGTATTGGGAAGTGGGGCTTTCAGGAAGTGACAGGACCGTGAGGGTAAAACTCTCATGAATTGGCTTGGTGACACACAAAAGAGAGCCCCAGGAGCTCATTTGTCTCTTCTGTGGGAACCCGGTGGGTAGATAGCCATCTGTGTAACAGGAATCAGGCCCCTGCCAGGTGAATCTTGGACCTCTTGCCTTCCTAGGACAATGAGAAGTAAATTTCTATTGTTTATAAGCCACCCAGTTTGTGGTATTTTGTTATAGTGGCCCAAATTGGGTAAGACAGAAGTCCAATACAATCCTGAGAGATGTGGGTGATATGGATTCTATTTCATAGGCGAGTAAGCCAAGTCCAGGATAGGCTGGGCAAATCACACACTCATATTCTGGAAGCATTTTGATCGAATCATTCACAGGATTTTGATTTGACTGCAAAGCTCTGTTCTTTCCTGACAGTACATCCCTTCCCAAGGAAAAGGGACTGGGACTAGGAGCTGGGTACCTGGCTTCTTGTGCTGGTTCTGTGGGACCCTTTGAAAGTCACTTCAGGTCTCTGGATCTCTCTCCTGTATGACAGGAGGGATGGAACACCAGACTTTGAGGGTCTCTTTGAGTTCCACTTTGGGACCATAATGGAAACTTCAAGTCTCCTAAGGAATTACATGATGGAAGGGAGCTAGAGCTCTGACCCAGAAGGGGGTCTAACCGTTGGGGGTCTGATCAATCCAGCCAGGCCACTGACAGGGGTTCTACATCACTTACCCCAAACGATGGTTTAAATAATGGTGTCCCCTCCAAAGTTGAAACTTTATCCCCAGGGTGACAGTGCTGGCAGGTCTACCCTTTAGGAGGGGTTGAATCACCAGGGCTCTGCGTTCATGAATGAGATGAGATGCCTTATAAAAGGGCTCAGTGGAAGGAGTTTGCTCTTTGCACCACAACCCTCTTCTACCATATGAGGACACAGCGTACACCCCTCCAAAGGGCATTGTACATGAAGAAGTTTTAATATTTTCTGTCTCCCAGTGGGTCTTGTTGCATGCATCTATTTTGGAGGCTGTCGCTTGGGAGAAGTATGACTGCAAAGACAGCTTGCACACCAGGTACTGGCCCATGATGCCATGAATGTGGACTAAATGTACATCAGTTCTGTCATTCGTTCAGTGTACTGCTTCATACCCAAGACTATCTTAGTAGAAGAACCAACAGGTTGCTTTTCATGCTGAGATCTCAGTGGGGATGGGCACTTGGAGAAGCGCTGCTCTAAAGCTTGGGCCCCTCAAGGACAGAAGCCTTTTTAATCCTCTTTACCTCCTTGTTCAAACCCAGGTCCTGGAGTATGACAAATGCTGGGGACTGTTGTATATGCTTGGTGTGTGACATACTGCCTGGTAACAACTATCCCTTGTGTTTCCTTTACCTGCCTTCTGAATTCTACCCCAGTGCCCTTGGGCTCCTTCATGTTCAGTTCTAAGTCTCCTGCCCCGAGAGCTTTCCCAGGTCTCCTGCATGGGAGAACATGCCCCTCCTCTGAACCTCCCCAGCCACGTCCCCTCCCCGCAGTTCGTTGTTTTCTTTTCCGTTGGCTCACAGGTCCCCTCTCCTGTCCACTGTGGATTCCTTGAGGTCAGAGACCCTTGTCTACTTGCTGACCTCAGGGCTCAGCCTACCTCCTTTTTCATGGTGGGTACTTAAGCAATATTTATCCAATAACGATATACCATCATTGCCAAGTTCTTAGTGACCAGGTATTGCCAACTCACACATTTCTAGTGTGAGATTTCCAGAAATAATGCTGCTTAAATTTGTGCTGATTTGTAAGGAACTGCTATGTAGAAACCATCTCCTCGAATGCTGTGCTAATTGGCTTGACTTTGATGTACTCTAAGCTTTATAGGGTATCTAATAAGTCTAAGGCTTGTGCTTGGCATGGAAGGAGTGCTCAATAAATACAGCTGTTAGTGTTGTTAATACTACCAGGCTTACACAGTGTGTGTGTTTTCTGGGAT